AAGTCTCCATGACTCCCCATCAGATTTAATAATTCACTAGAATGACTCACAGAACTCAAAAAATATCTTATTTACTATTATCAGTTTATTATAAAGAATAAAAGCCAGGAAGAGCCAAATGGAAGAGCTTCATAGGGCCAGGTATGAGGTGGGGAGTCGCGGAGCTTCCATGCACTCTCCAGGTGTGCCACCCTCCCAGCACCAAGTGTGTTTGCCAATCCAGAAGTTCTCTGAACCCTTTGTTTAGAGTTTTTTTATGGAGGTTTACATTATATAGGCATGATCGACAGAATCACTGGCCATTGGTGATTGACTCAATCTCCAACCCCTCTCACATCCCTGGAGGTCAGGGAAGGGGCTAAAAGTCTCAACCCTCTCTGGCCACCAGCCCCCATCCTGTAAAAGTCACCTCATTAGCATAAACCCTGGTGTGGTTGAAAGGGACTCATTATGAATAACAGAAGACATTGCTATTACTCAGAAAATTCCACAGGTTTTAGGGACTCTGTGATGGGAATCCGGGACGAAGACCAGATATATTTTTTATTATCCTACAACTTGATATTATCAGGACCAGGGGTGGCTCCCAAACCATCTCTGCTTGAGGATGCTAATCCTTTTCACAATGTAGGTATGATTAGTTGTTTCACCCTCTGAGCTCCCTTTGCTGCCAATGATTCCCTCTATCATACTGTACTGTTGTTCTTACATGGTACTGTAAATATTTAGTAGTTTCTAGCTTCCATTCCTCTAACTAGCATGTGAACGACATGAGATAGTACCTAATTCGCCTTTGTACCCTGCTATCTGGCACAGTGGTTGGCACATCATTGCTCTGTAACTGTTGCATGAGTGTGAGAGGATGCAAAACAGAGCACTGCTGACCTCTGTGGTCTGTATTCATGCCTGTTTGATGCTAATTCTTACTTCCAACAAGTATCTGGGGAATGGACCCTGGTGTTGCTAACTATATTTTCCAGCTCATGAAGGTTTCCTGATAATCTCAGTTCTGGTTTCCTGCTGTTGAATCTGTGGTAGTATGGAGGGGAATTCAGAGTTTATAAATTAATTTCAGCAAAATAAAAACCGGATGTGGGAGAAAGTAGGCAGTCTTGATGCCCTCTGTTTCACAGAGTGTGTTCTTTACAGCACACCGATATTCCGTACAATGTGCCGACTTTACTGCATAACCTTTCGAGTCAGTTTTCTGACTGTGTTTTGATTTTAAAAAATGCCCTTAGAAACTTAGAAGTTTGACATTTGCATAAATGTTTAAAAATTGTTATAAATTCAGAGAATTTTGTTAAAAACCATGTGTGTACATGTTATATATGCATATACACCAAATAGTCAAATGTTGCTTACTTTTGTTTTTGCCTGTTTAATGCCCTTTGACCATACAAAGGACATTAACTACTTTGAGACATTAAATACTGACTTTGCTGATGTGTCATTTGAACAGCAGTTCAGGAATACTTGCTTCCTGTTTTGATGATCAACAGGATACTTGGGAGTTGTAAAGCCTGTGGAATGAAAAATGATATCATGATCTCTGCCAGCCTATCATTTTAGCTACTGAGATGTCAGAAAAAAATCCAAACAGTGGAGTGACACTGCAGGAAGTCTAGGTCTCAAATCTAGGTGACCTAGATTTTATTTCTCCAGAATTTTTGACTTGTGGAAAGTAACTTAACCTATTACATCTTGACTTATAGCTATTTGTAAAACTAAAATAGTATCCACTTGGCTATCTGAGACGGGTAATGAAGAAAATAAAGTAATATATATGTTCTTGCTACCAAGGCTATGGAAAGTCCTTGTCTACCTCAGGCCCATCTTAGCTGCACTCCTGTCAGCCTAGAAAGTCCCAGCTCTGACATGGCCCTGGCCCAATGAGAACCATTCTCTGTTAGTGAGTTGGAGTCTGGAAATAGCCCTGTATGTGCTATACCTTTGGAATTGATTTGGGCCCCTGGGAACCTTTGTAAGCATCAGGCTTTAGCTTTTACCTCTTTCTGCTGTTGGCTGTTTGATTGACTGTAATCTGGGGGCTCACTTCTTCCTCTGTCTCTGTTGAAATTGGGGCCCAGGCCTAAATCTTTTTCCCTAGTTTCTGCTGGCTCCTTTCCAGGGACTGCTGACTGCTTGCTGAATCATTTCTATTATCTTGCCCAGTTCTTCAAAAATAATGACTTGATTCCAACTATCCTGAAAAGTTTCCCCACTCTGAGGCCTCGATATACCTCCTCACTCCATGCCCCTTGGATGACACTGACTCTAATCTGCATCAAATTTGGGTTTACACCCTCTCTCGATTCTGGTGTAGACCAGCTTCCAGCTAGGGAGGGCCTGCCCCAAATAGTCTTACCAGCCTCTTTTCTCTGCGCCGTTCAGGTTTACTCCCGAATCTTCTTTTCTTAGGATTTGGAATATGCCTTGTATCTAGAGCAGAGGTTGATGATTGCTAAGGTACAAGTATACAAATATTATCGACAACTTCCAAAGCTAAGAATATATTTATTTTTATTGATGCCACTAGAAAGCATTCAAATAGGACTTTTAGTAGATTCAAATGAATTGTCTTTTTATTATATTTCTCTTCGCACCAAGAAGGAAAGCTTATGCTTTCGCTAATTAAGCTATCAAATGAAAGTGAAAAGGAATATCTAATGGACCTTAACAACTGAGGCATGATGAATTATTGTTTCCAACTGTATTTTATTAACTAAATTTAACTTATGGTATGCATATCTACAAACAAATGCACTGTATACTTCAAAGATATTATTATGCTTCTATTTCTTTGAACTGTGCCTCTCCAATATCATACTATGTAATAAGAATATCGTAAAGCTGGGTCAGTGACATTGAAAGACAAGTTATAATGAAATATTTGCAAGTGCCAGAAGATTTCGGTGAAATAGGAAGCTTGAAGAAAACTTCCTGGAGATTAAAAAAAAAATTGAAGAAGACAAATGAGTTAATTGGAATTGCAATCTCAGCAAAAGGAAAGGAGATTTTGAATCTAGATCTTCTTTTTGTTATCATCATGTCAGCAACTTTTGATTATAAAATGCTTCATGTAGCCCTGATAAATAATTTCTGACAAAAATGATTACAAGACAGCCAAACCAGCTGACGCGTGAAAAGCAAATGCCAAACTCCCTAAACCATTCTCAATTTCTTCCCACCTTCCTACCTTCAATTTAGAGAGAAACATTAACTAAGGAAAGACATCTAGGGGTAAAAAACATTTTGGAGTAAAACATAAAGTTATTAATAGAAAGAAAATTGTATACATACTCTGCTCTTTATTTGGACTTCTTGCCTTTTGTTTATTCACATACTTAATGTAATATATATCTTTAGAATCTGAGGGAAATTATCAAGTCTGAACCTGTGAGGAAGTAAGATACTTTTTATCCATTGGAATATTATTAGGCGGTATTGAGAGGCTGGATCTAACCTCAATCCATTCTCATTTGGGAAGAAATCACTGACAACATCTCATCTACTCTAGAAAAGCATAAAAAGTATTCTGGCTTCTTATGGTTCCTGGACATGGAGATTAAATCAGGGGCAGACAAAAACTCTTTGGAGACTTGAAGGATAAAGAAAACTTTAGGCCGGGCGCGGTGGCTCACACCTGCAATCCTAGCACTCTGGGAGGCCGACGCAGGAGGATCATTTGAGCTCAGGAGTTCGAGACCAGCCTGAGCAAGAGCGAGACTCCGTCTCTACTATAAATAGAAAGAAATTAGCTGGACAACTAAAAATATATATAGAAAAAATTAGCTGGGCATGATGGCGCATGCCTGTAGTCCCAGCTACTCGGGAGGTTGAGGCAGGAGGATTGCTTGAGCCCAGGAATTTGAGGTTGCTGTGAGCTAGGCTGACACCATGGCACTCTAGCCTGGGCAACAGAGTAAGACTCTGTCTCACAAAAAAAAAAAAAAGAAGAAGAAAAGAAAACTTCAGTGGCGGCCTGAGTTTCTTAATTTTATCTGGGCTGAAATAAAATCTCTCTTGGTTGTGTAAAGAATGATTTGACAAACTTTCAATGGAAAAAAAAGATGCATACATATCACTTATTGAATTTTAATTATAACACCAAGGATTGTATCATAGAAATCAGGGGAAATTTGGACATCATCTAATTCTATTAGCTCATTTTAAATATGAGAGACTGACAATTTCTTAGGGAAAGTGCAGAGGCGATTTTGTTTGGGAGTAGAATATTAGACTAGACCTGTGGTCCCCAAACCCCCTGGGCCACGGACCAGTACCAGTCCCTGGCCTGTTAGGAACCGGGCCCCACAGCAGGAGGTGAGCAGCAGGTGGCCGAGCGAAGCTTCATCTATATTTACAGCTGCTCTCAATCTCCATCCCCCCCCCACCCCGGGGAAAAATGATCTTCCATGAAATTGGTCCCTGGTGCCAAAAAGTTTGGGGACCACTGGACTAGATGACTTCTGAGATCTCATTCAATACACTTTTTGAAATTGAGGCCCAAAGAGGTTAAGGAAATTGCCTGAGGTCACAGAGCTGACTGTGGGAGGAAGAGCCTAGAGTAGAATCCAGGTTTCCAGATTCCTTATCTATTTTATGACTCTTTTAATAAATAAAGGTATTTGGAACTCAAAACAGTGATGCCTTTGGGTAATACACTCTGAGGAAACAAACCTGGCAATCACATATTTATCTTTGGATTATCTTTTAATTCTCAATGTGGTGAGTCACATAGTAAAATAACATTGGAATACTAAGATGGCATATGAGGAAATAATGAAAAGGGAAAAAAAATTACTCAGATGAACCTAATTTCCTCTGAATCTTTTGTCAAATGTGACCTCGAATGCTGACCTGCTTTGAATGCAATTTTCTCAGGACAGTTGGTACTTTTTGTGGATAAAGCAGAGCTCCTCCTACATAAAAGAGAGGCTTTAGCTCTAAGGTCATTTAAAATCCAGTATGCTAAGAAGCTGTTCATTGAGGCAGACTTCAGTGGTATTATAGAAGAATTTGATTCCAACTGGATGCATTATTCACATAGAGTAAGTTTGGAACTTTAATTTGGAGGAGGAAGTTTGAGAACGAGAGGCAACTTGCTTTGAATAATTGTTTCACTTTCTCCACCTTTTCTTAATGGGCTCATGAATCTTTTTTATGGCAAAAATTGTTTGATTTGATATAAAAGTAATTCAGGGAAATACTGCATTTTTTTGCATGAAGCTAATGGGTGCTGGATCATCAGTATGGATAGCAATATTGCTTTAATTTTTATTGTTGTTTTCTTATTAGCCTTTATTTTCTGTAAAAATTACACCTCTTTTAAGCAAACCTGTTCCTTTGGGGATAGTAAGGAGAGTTGCATTTTAGAGTTAAGATATTCTCTGAGATTATTTTCGATATGATTTTTTTCTGTAAATGAGAATCCTCCACTTTGCAGCAACTTTTCTCTCTTAAGCTCAGAAATAACAACAGTGTTCCTCTAAAATGAATGATTTCATTTAACTCTAGATGATGTTCTGATTTAATTTATTGAACATGCATTTCTTCTCTACCTCTGTTTCATTTGTTCATATATTATGGTTACATATAGGGGCATTCAAACTAAAATTCCAATTGTCACTGCTTTTCCTCTGAAATGCACTAGCATCTTATACCTCTAATGCTTGTTTTCCTCTGAAAGAATACACAGTTAACACTTAGCTGCACCTTTACAAACTGCACTCACTTTGCATGCTTCTGGATTAGTTTTCTTCTTTTAATATGGAAGAAGGTACATAAAAGCAGAACATGACCACCAAGGACTTACCAGCTATTTATTTTTATTTTTAGTTTTTAGAGATGGGGTCTCGCTATGTTGCCCAGGCTGGACTCAAACTCCTGGGCTCAAGCAATCCTCCTGCCTTAGCACCCTGAGTACATGAAACTACAGGCCTATGCCACTGTGCCTGGCTTTTCCAGCCATTTTTGATTGAAATTTTATTAAATTATGGAATGTTTTAGAGAGTTCGAGGCTCAAGTAAATTGCATAGATCTGTTGTTATAATTGTTATGATTATTTTAAGTGGCGAGAGTACTAAATTAAGGAACGAGAGATCTGGTTTCCAGTTCTAAATCGCTCCTGTATAGCTGTGCAACCTTGGGATGGACGTCCCATTCCTCCCTACTTAGTTTCTTCATCTCTGAAATGACCAGATGTCCTGACTGCTAATGTTATGAAAGGCAATAAAGGCAACAATGTTGGAAATAATTATTTAAATGCTATGATAAAACAAAGGAGTGGCAGAATACCTATTGGATTGTTTTTATTTTTTCAATGCTAAGATTTTATCCATAAATGAAAAGCTGCTTTCAGGGCATTTTTTAAAAATCAGAGAAATATATCACCCGTATTTTGCTACAAGTTGGAGAAGTCAGTGTAGGGGGTTTGTTTTTTCCTTTTGAAATATTTTTCAGTATTGTCAAGGAATTGATAGGAGGTGGCTGCTAGATATCAGAGAAGCAGAAGGCAGCTAACATTGAGTTATTATGCCCACTGTGCCACAGACATTTTGCATTTCACTATTCCATGCTGCTTCTGTGGTCACTCTGAGACAATGCTGAGAAGATAAGCTCTTTGGAATGATGTCTTCCATTTTGTCGGTGGGGTCAAGACTTAACGCTGAGGAGATGGATAACATACGGGGTCACATAGAACAGGCTGGTAGGTGCCTGCGTGGTGGGATGTGGGAGGCAGTTGACGGGTGCCTGCCTATAAATATTATCTTCATTAGAGTATCACAGTTGCTTTACCTGAGATTTTACCAGTAAAGTCTTTACTTTGGATGTTGAACAGTTTTTTGTTTGCTTATTTGTTTGTTTTGTTTTTCTTTGCCAGGGGGGAGGTTGATAGGGGACTTTCAAATGCACGTACCCTCAGGAAGGTGCACGTACCCTCAGGAAGGTTCACGTATGAAATGTTTTATTGCCTGATACCTTAGCAGACAGTGTAGGATAGGAGAAAGAGCTTAGATTTTGGAGTGAGGCAAACCTGAGATTGAATTCTGATTCTACCATTTACTAGCTGTTTAACTTGCACATGATACTTAATCTCTCAGAGGTTCTCTTTCCACTTGAGTAAAACAGATAATAAGGCATATATATAGGCCCTTAGTATAATAACCATAATGTATTGAACATATACTATGGGTAGGTATGGTAGAGTGGGAAGAGCACTGGAATGGAAGATGTGGTGTTCTGCCATGGTTTTCATTCATTCAAATACATAAATATTTCTTGAGCTTCTACTCTGTGTCATGCACTGTGCTAGGCACTCTAGGCACTGGGGATGCAGCAATGAACGATTGGAAGTCCAAGCTTTCTTATATTTTAAATTCTAGTTTGGTGCTAACCTAACTACATCTGTATCCTGGTCATGTAGAGAGGGATGAATGTTCTCCATGTTTTAGAGATGGAAATCTTTAAGGGTTAAATGATACAATAGTGAGCGAAATAAATATGATCCCTGACCTTATCTATCTGATTATAAGATTGTAATGGAGCAGAAATTAATCAGATAATCTCACAAACTAATAGAAGATTAAAACTGTGATAAATCTAAAGGAAAGGTAGTCAGTGCTCCGAAACCATGTAACAGGGGCCTCACTTCAGCTTCTTTGAGCAGGTGACATCTGAGCTGCAATCTGAAGAATGAAATGGTGCTAAGCAGGTCATCCTTCTACATGTCCTTACTCAGACTCTTCTGGATTTCCATTGGCTCTCTTACATCCTCTTTGGTGGCTATTGCAAATTTTTTTCTCTCTTTTTAAACCTCCTCCCCAACTACTAGGCATTTATTCTCAGGAGGTGGGCTTGCCTCCTATTTCGCATAGAAAATAAAAACTATCAGTTCTGCCTTAACCTCATCCACCTGCCTTCCCGGATCATACACACACGTTGATTTGCATCTTCACCCATGCTTTTGTCCTCACAGGAAAAACTAGCCATCCGTCAGTCCAAATTCAGTCTCTCCAGCTGTGATTTAGATCCCATGCCATTCTCTTTTTTTCTCAGGGATCCCTTTTTGTAATTACCCCTTTCTCTTCAGTATTTTTAACGTCTTCCTCTTTCTGAGTTCTTTTCTCAGCAAAAATAAACAAATAAATAAATAAGAGACACTTTTCTTATACCCTTCCTTGTATAACCAAGTCCTGTATAACCTATACAAGCAAGCTTCAATAAAAAGCAGTCTGCATTTATATTAATAACTACCCTTACCAAGGTCACCAACTACTTTTTATTTCCACATGCAACAGACACATTTCAATTCTTGTCCTATTATCTCCCATGTCTCCCCCAACCATAGTTTTTTTTAGTGTGTGAGGCATATTGCTTTTCAATATTTTCTCTTTGAAATCTTCTGCTTCATTACTTTCCATGATACCACTTTCTCCTTTCCTTTCTCCTACTTTTCTGGTCACTCTTCAGTCTCATTTTTGAGCTACTCAATTGCAAATGCTACCTGCAAATTCAACTGCCCTAATATCTTTACGATCACTCCAGTTCTCTTCTCTGTTTTCAACTGGTCACTAAGGCACGTCTATTTTACCTTCTTACTAATAAACGTTATGTGTTCCATATTTTTTAAGGCATTATTATTATCATAGTATGGATCATCATTATCTCTATCCTGAACTATTGTAAAAGTCTCCTAACTTCTTGCTTCTGTCTCCCTTCTTGCCATCCCCCCTCAGATCTGCTCTCCTGAAGGTGGCAGAGGCCATATTCCTAAAGTTTGTAGGTGTTAAACTGAGCTGTCTATTAGGCATAACCCTAAGGTTGAAATAGCCTTCAGTACCAACTTATAACCCTCAGGATTAGGCCCAAAGTCTTTTAACATGGATCAGAAGCCATGACTATGTACATCTAGTCAAAACAAACTACTTGTTTGTTCTCCTTGTCTATTAGTATGGGAAAGCTTAGGTAGTACTTCCTTTAAGGACTCTCACCTGACCATTACTCCCACTACCAGATTGAATACCTGTCCTCTGTGTTTCTAAGTGCACTTGCCACTTTCCTGGAACTTACCACATTTTATTATAACTGGTGTTGGTATGAATCTAGTCCAAAGATGGGTATCCAAGAAATTTCACATTTTAAAATGTTCTTTAAGCTATGCTGTATTCAACATTCTGCCAGGAAAGTAAGATATGCAATTTTAGTCAATACTTGAACTTCCTGCTGGGTTATGCAAATATTTTGAAGCCTTAGGCAACACCAAAATACAAATACTCCCCAACTTATGATGGAGTTATGTCCCAAAAAACCCATTGTAAGTTGAAAATATCATAAGTTGAAAATGCATTGAACATACCTAACCTATTGAACATCACACTGTAGCCTCGCCTACCTTGAATGTGCTCAGAACTCTTACATTAGCCTACAGTTGGGCAAAATCATTTAACACAAAGTTTATTTTATAATAAATTGTTGAATATCTTATGTACTACATATCACTAGCTCAGGAAAAGATCAAAATTCAAAGTACTTTGAAATTCTGATGGTTTTGCACTGTCATAAATCCAAAAATTGTAAGTTGAACCATTGTAAGTTGGGGACCACCTGTACTGGGGAGGCTTTTTGGTCATTGATAATTATTCTTATGTCAACTCCCTGATATATTCTCTGATATACCATTTTGTCTCAACCTGGAATAGTCCTTTCATGTTTGTTGCTGCTGCTCCTATGCTGTGTTTGAGAAACTGGATCATTGCTGATATTAGGTCCCGTGTGTCTCGGGCCCAGCATACTCACTGAAACTTTTCTGAGCTTTTGCTCCCTTTTTGGGCTGCTGCCATCAACTGTTAGGCTGTTCCCTGTTTTCCCTACCACCACTAACCTCTACTAGAGCTCTGAGTTCTTTTTGTCTAAATATATGTCCCTTTGTCTCCTCTTAATACCCTAAAAAGAATTATATCTGTTCTCTTGAGACCCTCATTGGCATTCCCAAGCATAATCTTTCCCATGAGCTTGTGTTTTGGGAAAACAGAAGACAGGAAGGTAAATG